AAAAAAAAAAAAAGAAAAAGAAAACAAATTGGGAAAGTTCAAATAAAATTGTATCTGTGAAGAGCACTATACCAGACTCAGCAAAGGCTGGACAATTGAATTCAGCTGTGGTTAAAGAGTACAAAGGTTAAGTGGGAATGGAATATCCCTTGTCACATCTTGGTCTCTGTTCCCTAAGTAGCTATGTGATCTTGGCCAAGTGTTTTAATCCCTTAGAGTCTCAGGGTTTCCTCTTTAGAATAAGGGTAACAAACAACATCTGGGTGTTTTGTTTATTTGTTTGTTTTTGTTTGTTTTTGTTTTATTGGTACTGGGGGGTTGAACCCAGGGGTGCTTTATGACTGAGCTACATCCCTAACCCTTTTTATTTTGATACACAGAATCTCTCAGTTGCTGAGCCTGGCCTCCAACTTGGAATTATCTCAGCCTCCCAAATTGCTGGAATTACAGATGTGTGCCTCTTCACCATCTCATGTTCTCTTGTGATACTGGGAATGAAACCGAGGGCTTCACATATGCTAGGCAAACGCTCTACCACTGAGCTATATCCCCAGCCCCCATGTTCTTATTATTTATTTATTTATGTACCAGGGATTGAATCCTGGGGTGCTTAACCACTGATACACATCCCCAGCCCGCTTATATTTTATTTTGTTTTAAAATTTTTATTTACTTATGGTCTAGGGTGGGGGGTTCCAGGGATTTAACTCAGGGGCCCTTGGCCACTGAGGTACATCCTCAGCCCTATTTTGTATTTTATTTAGAGACAGGGTCTCACTGAGTTGCTTAGCACCTTGCTTTTTGCTAAGTCTAGCTTTGAACTTGTGATCCTCCTGCCTCAGCCTCCCAAATTGCTAGGAGTACAGGCTTTTATCACTGCACCTGGCTCCATGTTCTTATTCTTAAGAGATGCCTGGTGCAGTTCAGTGGTAGGGCATTTGCCTTGCATGAGCAAGGTACTAGGTTCAATTCCCAAAAGAGGGAGGGGAGGTAGAATTTCAAGATGTCTGCAATTTATTCTTTATTGTTTTAGCAAAAACAATAACAATTTCCCCAATAAAAACCGAACACACACGTGCATGTATAGATAAAGGCAATTTAGCAAAATGTTAACAACTATTAATCCAGTTGGGAGTCTATTTGTGTGCTCAGAATATTTTTTCCCTTATCTTTTCTATGTGTTTGAATTTCATAATAAAAACAGAGTAAAGAATGCTAATTTGAACCAGGCTCCTGCTAGGCAAATCCCATATTTCTACCCACAATCCATTTTTATGACCTGGCAAAAATGAGGTTCAGAGTCTCCAAGTGGCTTCTTTCAGGCTGTACACTGAAGAAGAGCTTACAGAAAACATTTGATTAACATGTACATTTTTGAGCACCTATTATGGATGGATACTGTTGATGACAGGGGTACAGCACTGGATCAGGGGAGGGGATGTAGAGAGGAAAGAAATAGGAAAGCAAATGTATTCACTGATCACAAACTTTTCTGCATTTTGAACCTCTTCTGTGGACCAAACACTGAAGATATGCTAGTGAAATTGTAGATCAAAATTCCTGGTGAGAGGAGATGGACCATAAACTTAAATTACATAGTACTTTGGGAGCTGATAAGCGCTAGGGAAACCCATAGCACGGGGGAGGTGGTAATGAAAGGGAGTGCAACTTTGAGGAGGGGAAAGGGGTTCTCTGAAGGGGTGACATTTGAGCAGAGTCCCCGAGGAAATGAGAGAGGTAGCCAAACTCCTGGAGAAGGAAAGAGCCCATGCAAAAGCCCTGAGGTGCTGTTGGCAGCGAGGCCAGGGTAACTAGACTGGGAGATGCCGAGGAGGAAAGCACAATCCAGGGACCTCACTCCCAGTGGGATTCCAAGACCCTGGAAGATGAATGAATGAGACAGAATGACAGAGGGGCCTGTGGCCAGGGTGGTCCCCAAGGGAGCCTCCCCGAGGAGGTGACACTGGAGATGGAACCAGAATGTGGAGAAGGAGCCAGGAATTCAAAGGCTGTGGGGGAGGGAGGAAGAGCGGACCGGGGCCTTGGGAAAGGAAACCAGAAGCGAAGCCACCAGGCCCGGCTGGCCGGCCGGGGAGAAGCCACCGCCAGCTGGGGAGGGAGGGAGGGAGAAGGGTGGTCAGGGGAGCGTCCCGCCCCCAGCCGGCCGCCCCGCCCGGCCTCTGGGGAGGGAGGAGGCGCCAGGCCGGCTCCGGGCCGCGGCCACCTCCCGGGTCCGGGGCGAGCTGGCCAGCCCGGGCGGAGGGGGCAGGTGGGAGGGACCGAGCTCTGTGCCACGCCCCGGGGGCGAGCGACCCAGCCCATCCCCCCGGCGCAGGACGGTGCAGGAGGCAGGTTGGGGAACGTGGACTCTGCCCCCAGGGTTCCCTCGGCAGGGCCAGCCTTTCCACTTCTGTGGCCAGTTCCTTGACAGGTGCGACATTAGGGCAGGAGTTGGGCTTCAGTTTGTTCACCTGGAAAGTGGGGGTGCTCCTGGTCCTGGCTTCGCCCCGGGTACTAAGAACCTCCCCGATTCTCCTTTCTCTGGGTTCTCTTTAGGGAAGTCAAAAAGAGAGTTCTAAGAAAAAGGTGAGTCAGGTTTCATCCCTCCTCTGCTGAACATCCTCCCTTGGCTTCCTTGTCACTCAGAGTGAAGCTGAAACGCCCACCAGACCCTTCCTGATTTGCCCCCTCACCTCCTGCACCTCTTCTCCTGGTATTCTGGCCTCTGGGTCACTCTGCTCCGGCCCCCTGACCCTGCACACTGACCCTCAGACCTACTCAGGCTCTGACCTCAGGGCCTTTTGCACTGGCTATTTCCTCTCCCTGAGCTGTAATCACTTGGCTCACCCCTTACCTCCTCAGGTCTTTACCTAAATGTCACCTTTTCTGGCCATCTCATCTAAACAGCAACACCCCATCACTTCCCCGTCTTCTTCCACAATATTTATCATCACCTGACAGTCTACATTTTAACTTTTTTTTTTTTTTTGGTACTGGGGATAAAACCTAGGGCTGCTCAACTCTAAGC